TACATGCAACCTACAGTGAAAATCTCTCCAAAAAAAATAAAATATAAAATAAATAAATTAATTAATTAATTAAAAAAAAAAAACTCTCCAAAAAAAAAAAAAAAGAAAAAAAAAGAAATTACCTTTCTGAGGTTTGCTAACTTCTAAATAAAATGTTCATCCTTTGGAGTAGACAAGTATCACACCTTGTCTCTTTACTATATGGAAACAACAGGCCTTTTTTATTTTGGAGAGGTTTTTGCTATAGGGCGCGTGCGCTCACCAGACAGACAGAGAGACAGAGAGACAGAAAGCGAGAAATCACCCCCCAGGGAGGATGGCCACGCCGCAATCCCTTCTCCTCCATTCTCCTCTCGGGATCTTGGGCACACACGCACACGCGCCCGGCGTGAATTTTAAGCCACCGGGTCCGAGACACGAACCATGGTCTACTAGGTGGGAGTCCAGCAACATAGTCATTACACTAACTGCTGGTCTCAGGCCGTTTTTATATGTAGATGAAACTGGAACATGGTTAGGGGGAATCATAAGATTTTTGACTGATATTCCTTATTATTTTCTTCCTGAGTATAGATTTTAAGGAAATGACAAAGCCTTTATTATAACACTGAATCTTTGTTTTGTTTTGTTTTGTTTTTTTCCCAGTGTATATATCAGGCAATTGGAAAGTCATGACATGTTTTTCTATGCAAAAACTGTGTCATGACTTTTCCAACGACCTGATATTTAAGAGGATTTGCGTGCTTCTGTGTGTGTGTGTGAAGCTTTCTGTTTGTTTTTTTCATTGCTTTATCTTTTTAATGAATGACCAAAATATGTTTACTTTGATGAAATACTTTTGCAATATTACAAACATATAGGGACCAGCAGATAGTGTAATGGCTGTGTTGCTGGACTCCCATGTAGTCCACTGCAGCTCGAGTCCCAGACCCGGTGGCTTAAACTCATGCGAGACGCGTGTGTGTGCGTGCCCAAGATCTCAAGAGGAGAATGGAGGAGAAGGGATTGCGCCATGGCCATTCCCCCTGGGTGGGTGATTTTTCACTTTCTGTCTCTCTGTCTCTCTCTGTCTTTCTGGCGATGGCACGCACCCTATACCAAAAAAAAAAAAAAAAAAAGAATAAAAAAAAATTACAAACATATAGACAATGTTTTTAGGTTCTTTCATTTTCAAAAACTAAATGTTGCTGAGAAAAAAAATGAATGAAAATAAAAGCATATAATATAGCATATTTGATTTCCCTCATTTAAAATTTGAAAATAAGCAATTTTATAAAGCCAAAAATGTTTTTTAGGAAAAATGTCTATTTAAGAGATAAAGCATGCCGTAATGGGCTGCTTCAGACTTTACTTACCGTAACTGTACAGTACTAGTTATTTGTTTTATAGCATTTGGTTTAATGTCGTCTCTCCTATTTATAAAGCATATATCCCAAAAGGATAAACTTACTTCTAGTACAAGAATAAATCATTAACAGACCATCTATTTACAGTAAATTATATAACACTAGGTAGGAGTGGGGTCATGGGGAACCAGAGAGATTCTGTGTGCGTGTAAAAACTTACAAGGTCACTAAAGCAATTCTAAATGAAACTTAAAATAAAAGTCTTAATATTTAAATATCGCAACTTACACTTAAGGGAGAAAGTTATATTACTGATAAAACAAAACCCGTAACGTCATGAAAACACATTTTCTTGGGTAATTTGACAAAACGGCCCTAAATACAATGGGCCTTTTTATTAAATGGATCTAAATTCTACTTTTTAGGGTTTTTTTTGAGACCTTTTTTTTTACTATAGGGTGCGTGCACTCGCCAGAAAGACAGAGAGAAACAGAGAGACAGGAAGCAAGAAATCCCTTCTCCTCCATTCTCCTCTCGAGACTTTGGGCACACATGCACACGTGCCCAGCATGAGTTTAAGCCACTGGGGTCCGGGACTTGAAACACGGTCAACTACATGGGAGTCCAGCAACATAGCCATTACACCAACGGCTGGTCCCTCTAAATTCTACTTTGAAGGACATCATTCAGGCTACCCAGGGCAATATAATGCAATGCTCTGAGATGCTAAAGCCCCTGAGGAGTATCCCAGGTCCATGTCCCAAGATCTCCACGTCCACACCAGGCACATGCTTGTATGCCCTTGACACTGGCTGACTGAGGCTGGGGAGGGGTGAGATCATGGAGTGGGGGAGTGTCTGTCTGTCTATCTCTTTGAAGAAAGAAATATTCTTTTAAAAAAATGTAAGGATCGCAAAGGAATTTAAAAAAATAACACATTAATTTATATACAGCTTTCACCCTAACTTTCCTCACACCTTTTTCTTTTTTTCTACTTTTTTAATCATTATTATTATTTAATTTGATACAGGCACTTACCAGAAAGAAACACAGAGAGAGAGAAACTGATAAAGTAATTGTACTTTACTGCAATTTGTTCTGGCTGATTTGCTCATCTCGGAGTCGGTGAAAATTCTACCAGTAAAAGGATCTTTTCTAAGAGTGCTGGCTCTTCACCTTTTCTCCTTAATCCTGCTTTCTGCTACTGCCAGCTCTTCCATCTGGAGAATTGGATCAAGTGATATGGGGATGCTTCAAAATATTTGGAGATAATAATAAGCAGAAGAAAATGACTTCCTGTCCTACAGAGAGCTTCTAGAGTGGCATAGTTGACTCTAGAAAGACGTAAGCAGCCCTTGCCCAGATGCTAAATTCAGTACCATAAACAAACAAAAGAACTCCATCAAACACTACCTTCAAGAAAATCAAAGAACTCACAATCGATTTGGCGATTCATTTTCAATTTTAAAAATGCCTTTAAAGACACTCAGCTAATTTCTCGCATGTACTCTCAGAGTAACCTTTCCAAATATTTTGTGTTATTAAACATCTAGAAATACATGCTATAGCTACCTGTATTGCACAAACAGGTACTAAAAGATACGCCGATTTTGCCTGTCTGCGCAATTAAAATAAGTCACTGTCTGTAATGTCAGTAAACACTATCATTCATCCTCATGTTGTCTCGTCCACAATGGGTAGTCAGTAGCAGATGGTCAAAAGGAAAGGACTCAGCCCAGTGTATAAAGCATATCTTGAATGAATTTGATACAAATGAAAACTGCAGATAAAATCCATGTTCCACTTGAAAAATATTACATCCAGACTCTTGAACCCTCTACTTATTTTTGGAACCTGAATTCTCTAGTCTCCCACTCTACTCTGAGTTGCCAGAGTCAGGCAGGCATATTGGGGGAAACAGAAGAAGGAAGTGGGGACTATGGCAAGAGAAAGGTTTTCATGAATGTGGGTTCTCAGGCTGAGCAGCTAGTTGCTCAGTACTTATTACAGAGCAGCAGGGAAGACACAGACTGGATACATCCCCTTGTGTGTGTGGTTTTTTTTTTTTATTGTTGTTCTATTTAAATTTATTCATTTTCATTATTATTTTTTTTTTGAAGTTGACCAGAGAGAGACAGAGAGAGAAGGAAAGTGAGAAAGCAAGCTGCCAGGACTAGGACTCAAACCATGGTCTTCCATGTGTGTGTCAAGCCACCTTAACAACCAGGCCACCTGCCAGCCCCAACACTGTATACATTCCTTTGTGCTTTGCTCCTCCTGTATTCTTGGCATCTAAAATAATTTCTCACACATATTGTTTAGAAGTAGCTATTGGGGGACCAGTAGGTGATATGGTAGTTAAGGTGCTGGACTCCCACATGGCTGACTATGGTTCAAGTCCTGGACCTGCCAGACTGAAAATCACACCAGGCACATGTGTGTGATGCCCCAAATCCTGGGAGGAAATGGAGGGGAAGGTATTGTGGGATGCCATCCCCTCTGGGGGATGATTTCTCACTGCCCCCTCATTGTCCGTCTCTCTCTGGCAAGCTCATGTGCCTTAGGCAAAAACCTTTAAAAAAAAAAAAAGTTATTGAGCCAGCTGCCATGATGCTGTGGCCATGTGAGAGGGTCCTGGGTGTTCCTAATACACTCAACACCCTTGTGTGTCCTATGATCTAGGCTGGCTGAGGTCAGGGGTAGATCATGGCATGAGGACCCTGTTGGGGGTGCCGCCCCCCTCTTTCTTATGGAACAGATTAATAATAAACTTACAAGATAGTTAATGAATCAATAGTCCAGGCAGGGATAATGACAGTGGAGGTAACTTCTACAATGGGGATCTTATGGCAGCAACCTACACAAGATTTATGTTGTGTTTTTGTAGCAAAACTCAGAATTGTAGTTAATCCTTAAGTACAGAGTGCTTGCTACATAAAAGATGTCCTATGTAGTTCACTATTCTTTAAACATTGTGGACAAAAGAGTTCACAATCTCTAGACAAACTGAAGTACCAAATTATTCTCTCATCTGATATCTGACCTTCATCCCGGGAAATTCTGCCCCATATTTCATGTATCTCAGCTTCCATTTTTATCCCCTCTTCTCTTGCTCTAAACCGTGGGGAAATATTTCTACAGTGCCTTCATCCACTTATTGTGAATGGAGTCACCATTTGTTTTTTGTCTTCAAGCATACTTCATTATGCTTTCACACCTCTGCTGTTTTTTCTAACCTTTTAATTACTGTTGTAGCTCCTTGAATGTTCTCCAGGATTTTAATGTCTGAAGTCCTGGAGCCCAAGGTTGGTCATGATATGCCAAGACAGGCAGGTGGAGGCTCACCCCTCACTTATTCTTGGGAGATCATGTCATGTTTCCTATTCCACTTTATGTACACTGGCATTCGCTTTAGTTTTGTTTGCATTTTTCTTTTCTTTTTTTTCATGACACGTTCCATTGCAAATTTACCCTTTCCCACCATTGCTGAAGTAAGTCATCTTTTACATCTGGAACTCCTAGATTTAAGATATTCTCTAGTTTCTGTATATGCAGCCTTTCTCCTCAAGTATATTTCTTGTGGGCATCAACACTAAATCTTCTTTCTTTCTAAACACATCATAGCCTTAGCCCAGTGCAAGGTAGATGCAAGCAGTCCAAATATATTATTGATATCCAAAATGCAAACTCATTCTTTTCATTATTATCGCTTTGTCCCCAAATTTGTTCCCCCTCCTGTTTCCTGTCTGTATTCTCAGTACCACAACATATCCAAAATAAAAGTGTCAATTTTTTTCTTTTATCTTACTACAGAGCCAGTGTGAGATAGAAAGAGAGAGGTATTTTTGAAAGGGTCCCACCCCGTTGCCAGCCTCCTGTCTCAGCCTCCTACTTAGATCCACAGGTGTGTACAACTGTACCTTTTCTGTTTGGGTGAAGCTGGGAACTGAACAAGGCCTCTTATGGATCTCCCACACCACATAGCAGCACCCTCCTGCTTGCACCTCTGGAGTGGGGCCCTGCTGACACTGGATATCTGGTTGTTTCCCTCTTGAATGTGGCCTTTCTTCTGTATTTCAACCTACTCCCTGAGTTCAGGTCTCCAGCCTCCCTGGATTGGACTACTGTTGTACAATTGTCTTTAGTTTCTCTGTTCAATTAATTTCCTCCTATCTCTGAATGCTTACCTTACCATACCATTTTTGCCATTTAAAAAGAAAAAAATTACAGTGTTTTCATTGTAGCAATGAGCATATAGCGTATACATTCAAATCCTTGATACCACTTCCCTGCCTTTTCAAACTCATTACTCTAGCCACTTCTCTTTCTACCATTGCTCCCAAATCAAGTCCTATACTAAGGACAGCAGATCTGTCAATTTAAATTAATTGGAAATGGCACCTGAAACAATATATTGTTTTTTTTAAAAAAGAATTATTTAATTTTACTTATTTATTTTAATTGATCAGATAGGGACAGAATGAGAGAGAGATGGAAAGTGAGAAAGCAAGTCGCCAGGTCCAGGATTCACACCGCAGTTGGCCATGTGGGAATCCAGCGCCTTTAACCACCATGTCACCTGCTGGCCTCATGAAACAATATATTGTAAAGACATGAAAAGTGCAATAACAGATCAGCCATGTCCACCATGAAAGGGAGTTAACAGCAGAACTATGTAATATATTTGTTATTTATTTTGCTACACATATTGAGAATTTAAATTTCCCTAACTCTCTCTCTCTCTCTCTCTCTTTTTAAAATTTGGTTAGCTATAAGATATACACACTTGCCAGACAAAGAGACAGGGTGAGGGACAGAGTGAATCATCACCTCCCCAGGGGAATGGCCACACCACAATCCCCCCTACTGGGATTTTGGGCATGCATGCACATGTGCCCAGCAGTGTGTTTTTCAAGCTACCAGGTCTGAAATTCTAGCTGCACAGCTAATCATGTGGGACCAGCAGCCTTGACCACCATGCCACCAGCTGGCCCTAAAGTTTCCTAACTTTTTTTTTAAAGAATTATTTTATTTAACTTTCTTCTCCCAATCTCCCTCCCTCCCTCCTTTTTCTTCCTTCCTTCCTTCCTCTCTTTCTTTCTGTCTCTCTTCCTTTCCTTCCTTCCTTTCCTTCTTTCTTTCTTTCTTTCTTTCTTTCTCCCTCCTTCCCTCCCTCCCTCCCTCCCTCCCTCCTTTTCTTCCTTCCTTCCTTTCTTTTCCTTTCTCTCCTTTCTTCTTTTTTTGACCAGATTGGGGAGGGGAGAGAGAGAGAAAGAAAAAGCAAGCCACCAGGTCCAGGACTTGAACCACGGTCAGTCATGTAGGAGTACAGGTCCTTAAACAGCATGCCACCTGCTGGCCCCCAAAGTTCCCTAACTCTTCATTTGCTTTGGAACTCCATGGCTTTTTATTTTTTTAGAATTGGTCTCTCTTCATTGTTTTTGTCATAGGGTCTGTGCCCTGGCCAGAGAGAGGGAAAGTGAGAAATCACTCCTGGGGCGGGGCGGGGTGGGGGGGATTGCCATGCCAAAATTCCTTCTCCTCTGTTCCTCTCTTGAGATTTTGGGCAGACATGCCCAGTGTGATTTTCAAGCTACTGGGCCCAAAGCTTGAACTGCAGACAGCCATGTGGGAGTCCGGCACCTTAACCACCATGCCACCTGCTAAGCCACTCAGCATATTTTACAAGCTACTGAGTTCTGGGACTTGATTTGTGTAGTCAGCCATGTGGAATCCAGCTGCCATAGCCACCTTTTTGTGTCACCCCCCCCCCCCCCACGTTTTATTTCTACTTTTCCTTTTAACAACATTTTATTACTCCACTATTAGAAATTGATTTCTATATTATCTTCTAAATTATTTGGTGAAGGTATTACATTTTTTATTTTTATTTATACTATATGTGTGTGTGTGTGTATTTTTTAAACAGAGAACTTTACACTTTTTCATCTGACAATGTTTCCACCCCTAGCACCTCACACTCTCCACCACCTGCTCTCTCCCCTTTCCTCTCCTCCTTACGTGATTTACAGTTGCATATTATTCTACTATATGGCTGTATTAACAGGTAGGGTCCTCTATAGTTAGGGTGCTTCCAATATTTTTCCTATTGCAAACAATGACACAATTAATAATCTTGTACCATAGACTTTTTTTAAAGAATTTTTAAATTTTATTTCATTTATTCATTAATTTATTATTATTATTTTTTAATTTGACCAGAGGGAGACAGAGAAAGTGAGAAAGCAAGCCATCAGGTCCAGGACTGAACCATGGTCAGCCATGTGAGAGTGTCCAGCACCTTAACCACTGTACCATCTGCTAGTCCCAGACATTTTTTCTTTCTTTTCTTTGGAGAGGTTTTTGCTATAGGGCGCGTGCACTCGCCAGAAAGACAGAGACAGAGAGATAGAAAGCGAGAAATCACCCCCCAGGGGGGATGGCCACGCTGCAATCCCTTTCCTCCATTCGCTTCTCGGGATCTTGGGCATGCACGTACACACGCCCGGCATGAGTTTAAGCTGCTGAGTCCAGGACCTGAACTGCGGTCGACTACGTGGGAGTCCAGCAACATAGCCATTACGCTAACTGCTGGTTCCCCCCAGACATTTTTACATATGAAAATATCCCTGTAAAATAATTTTCCAGGGAACCAGCAGTTAGCGTAATGGCTATGTCGCTGGACTCCCATGTAGTTGACCGCGGTTCACGTCCCAGACCCGGTGGCTTAAAACTCACGCCGGGTGCATGTGCGTGCATGCCCAAGATCCCGAGAGGAGAATGGAGGAGAAGGGATTGCGGCATGACCATCCCCCCGGGGTGTGATTTCTTGCTTTCTGTCTCTGATGTCTCTCTCTGTCTGTCTGGCGAGCGCACGCGCCGTATAGCAAAAATCTCTCCAAAAAAAAATAATAATTTTCCAGAAGATAAATTGCTGAGTCATGAGTATAGACACTTGTAATTCTGAGAGATATTGTTAAATTCCTTATGAAAGTATTGTATACTTTTTTTTTTTCAGTTTTGCTATAGTGTGTGTGTGTACTTACAGGGAAGGAAAG